AATTATAATTAGTTTCTCTACAACATACAAAATATCTTAGAGGAATATTTTCCAACAAAACCCAAAAAAAATCAATAGACAAGATATACTCGGCAACACATCATCGAGATACCATCATAAAAACCCATTAAAAAGCATAGACTGCATCATCAGTCTCTAAACATCATCTCATTCTTGTCCTACTATCTATCTAGCGGAAACTCAACCGTCGCAAGCTTACCGTCAAGTAAGTGGAACGATTGACCGCTTCACACATCATCGTCCTATCTAGCTATCTAGCGGTAACTCAACCGTCACAAGCTTACCGTCATGTAAGTGGATCGATTGACCGCTTCAAAATTTCACAACATAAATAAACAATAACTCTAAGCTACCGGGTTCAATCATCACACGATTAAGAAAATAAATCCTCCAAGGATAGTGTATATTATAGGCATCTCGTTATTTAAACAGTGTGTCAACTGGTTAATAATAGAAAATTTTTAACAAATCAGGTTATAAAAGTTATGATTGTCTTGTAAAGGATCCTAACTTTATGATTGGTATATAAGCTTTTAGCTGGCACATCGAAAAAATAAAGACAGAAATGATTTAAAAGTGCATTGATTAAATGTAAACAATCTCTAGCACAACAAAAAATTAAATCTAACAAAAAAAATTCAACAAACAATTCCTTATTGCTGACTTCTATGACTTCTAACAAATGCAGCTAATTGACCTAAACTAAAGAATTATAGACTTAACTGACTGCTGGACTTTGGCATGCGACTGACAGAAGAGGAACAACGCCTTTTATTATTGTTACAACAAATTGGAGCTTAACATTTCTAAATCTACATTCGTCGGCTTGGACATCTGGAACTGCTGTGGGATGACATCGACACATGAACACTTCATTTTAACTTCAGTGGGGTAGGGTACTTCATATCGTCATTAGGGGTACACGAATACTCCATATCATCACGGGACATCAGGGGTGTAGGGATATTTCACATCATCATGGGTGGAGGGGTACTTCACATCATAACAGTTCAGATGCCATTAGACTACAAACAATGACGATTTAGTCAGTAGTCACTCTCACTAATCACTGTAACATACTTCAATGTTGTAAATATAAATTCTTCAATTCTAACAAGTCACCAAAGGCAATTAAAGTAGGTAGTCCAAGTTAATGAAAGTCCTAATTCGCGTATTCTCAGAAATAGCTGCACAAAACTTGAAAATAAACTAATAGTGACAGTTCTGTCTCACAGATTTTGAAACAACAGTTCCAACTTATGTAGATCTACGTAAAACTTGACAACGACGAGCTTGACGATTAACAGAGACGACGTGTGGCAGTGGCGTGGCAAAAAAAATAATAGATCTGTACCTCTTCGAGAATCACCGAAGTTTAAAAAAGTTTCACAATATATTTTCGCAAAGTTCTTTTACACTGTTCGACGTTCTTTAAAAGTCAGTTTGCTACTCAACCAAAAACGTTATGAATAATTTTAGCTGCTCTATCAAAATATTGTAAGTCGGTTCGCTGTTAGAGAAATCTAGATAGTTTTGCTCCTTGATCCGAATATTATGAATGTCCTTTTTGCTACTCCGCCAAAATGTAATAGGTCGTTTTGCTGCTCCACCAAATGTTATGGAACGATGGTCATCAGTATGGTTAGTATTGATGGTGGTGATGACTGCAGTGAGAGGTTAAACAGTTGTGTGGCGAATTAGACACTGTATATTACTTGATTGTTGAAGAAGACACCAACACAATTTCAGCTGAACAACTTTAATTAATAGATAATCAAACTACACTCTATATGGTCTAAGGAAAACAGAAATAGTTCATTAACAGCGGCCGGCCTTAGGGGCCACACTTTACAAGAACACAAAAACACGACTACATTCTAACCAGCCTAACGTTCAACTGTCCTATCTTTCTGGCCAAGCTTGACCCTGGGTTCCTTAACCCCTGCATGACCCCGGCATTCCAGCGAGGGGGAGGGACGGGCGCCTGCAAAATCCTAGGTGGGACTAATGCATTGTGTCCCAGTTCAGGGGGGGAGGGGAGCTGCGGAGGGGCAGTACACGCTGTCACAGTTCAGGTGTAGGGCAGGAGGGGGTGGGGTAGATACTCACTAGCGGTGGGACGAGGGGGGGGTTGGACTCATAACATCTATTAGTCAAACTTTTTACTTTGTCTACATTAGTCAAACTTTTTACTTTGTCTACATTAGTCAAACTTTTTACTTTGTCTACATTAGTCAAACTTTTTACTTTGTCTACATTAGTCAAACTTTTTACTTTGTCTACATTAGTCAAACTTTTTACTTTGTCTACATTAGTCAAACTTTTTACTTTGTCTACATTAGTCAAACTTTTTACTTTGTCTACATTAGTCAAACTTTTTACTTTGTCTACATTAGTCAAACTTTTTACTTTGTCTACATTAGTCAAACTTTTTACTTTGTCTATATTAGTCAAACTTTTTACTTTGTCTACATTAGTCAAACTTTTTACTTTGTCTACATTAGTCAAACTTTTTACTTTGTCTACATTAGTCAAACTTTTTACTTTGTCTACATTAGTCAAACTTTTTACTTTGTCTACATTAGTCAAACTTTTTACTTTGTCTACATTAGTCAAACTTTTTACTTTGTCTACATTAGTCAAACTTTTTACTTTGTCTACATTAGTCAAACTTTTTACTTTGTCTACATTAGTCAAACTTTTTACTTTGTCTACATTAGTCAAACTTTTTACTTTGTCTACATTAGTCAAACTTTTTACTTTGTCTACATTAGTCAAACTTTTTACTTTGTCTACATTAGTCAAACTTTTTACTTTGTCTACATTAATCAAACTTTTTACTTTGTCTACATTAGTCAAACTTTTTACTTTGTCTACATTAGTCAAACTTTTTACTTTGTCTACATTAGTTAAACGTTTTACTTTGTCTACATTAGTCAAACTTTTTACTTTGTCTACATTAGTCAAACTTTTTACTTTGTCTACATTAGTCAAACGTTTTACTTTGTCTACATTAGTCAAACTTTTTACTTTGTCTACATTAGTCAAACTTTTTACTTTGTCTACATTAGTCAAACTTTTTACTTTGTCTACATTAGTCAAACTTTTTACTTTGTCTACATTAGTCAAACTTTTTACTTTGTCTACATTAGTCAAACTTTTTACTTTGTCTACATTAGTCAAACTTTTTACTTTGTCTACATTAGTCAAACTTTTTTCTTTGTTTACATATTAGTCAAACTTTTTTCTTTGTTTACATTAGTCAAACTTTATTGTAATTCTCATTACCGTTTGACGGTGACTTTTTGAAAGATGTAACATTTTCTTGTACTTAAGAAAACGCCAACACATTTATAGAAAACTTAACTGTGTTTAGTTTGTCATAAATCGACAGTCAGAACCAATAGATAAAACAAAATCCGTTTATTTTAGTCTCCTTGTTTGTCTAGATCAAGCGTCAAGTAAATCATTTTTTTTTCAAAATTGTTATAATATATTATAATATTTTATAATATATTTGGTTTTCCAATAAACACGAGAAAAATTCCCCTCCCATGGCTTTATTAACAACTTCATTAGATTAACTAACTTACATGTCATCCTAACATAATGACATGATTCTGCATTATCTACTCCTCCTCAAGATTTTGATATCTATAGATGGGGATTTTTTAAAACTGTCAATCATTTGTATCTGGTTTTTAACATTTACATTTCGATTTTATCACCCCAACAAAAATTATATTCTTTGAAACGAATTCAGGTATCTGATTCACCCTTCTCTTCTCAAATAGGAACAAAATACATTAACATCATTCTATTCTTTTTTGTCCTACCCTTTTTCTTCTATTTCTTATCGTTCCCAACAATTTTCACGTGTTTTACGGACATATCCACACCATCCACTGAGTTTTTGGGTCTTCATCTTTTTCTTGATATTTTTACTTTCTCGTATATTCGAAGTATAGAGAAAGTCTTGTAATCGTGCAAAAAAAAAATCACAAATTTGTCACAAATCTCGACGTTTTACACCTCACTGATACGGGAAAACATAATTTTGCAATCTTGTCCGTATGTCTGTGTGTCTGTTAGTGTGTGTGTCTGTCTGTGCGTAAACACGATAACTTGAGTACCGTTACAGCTAGGTTGATGAAATTTCATATATGAGTATTTTATCGAAATCGTAGATCCGTATCAACTTTTGAGCGATTTCCGATAACTGGCAGTGGTACTTTTTCTACTTTGAATTTTTCAAAAGCCTATAACTTGAGTACTATTTCAGATAGATAAATGAAATTTCACATGAAAGTAAAAAATATAATTTTCTACCTTCTTTCAAATTTTGAGTAATTTCCGTTGACAGGAAGTACTAATTTACGCTATTTCCGATTTCTCAAAAAACGCATGTAAATTTATAAAGTACTAATAATATTGCGCACTATTATGCACATTTTGTTTTGGCGTTCGCTTGGTGCGCAATTCTTTTTTCTATGAGATTCTATTCTATTTTTAAAAGTTTAAGTAATTAAAAATCATGTCTATATTCCAAGTTATATAAGAATATTCGAGAAAGTTTAGGGGAGATCACTCCCGGTTTATTTTTTAAGTTAATTGTTGTGCCGGTCTGGTAATATATTGTGTAGCACGGTACATCAACGCATGGCTTATCCATCTTAAATTTCATATCCAGTCAACCATATCGTCCAGTGCTGTGGTGTAGGGTTCAAGACAGCGTGAGCAGAAAACACATATGTATGTATGTGTGCGTGTGTGTGTATGTGTGTGTGTCTGTGTGTGTCCGTATTCGTGTGTTTGCTCGAGTTTGTGCACGTGTGTCACCACAATTGCTGTCAATTCGAAACATTAATTAATCAGCAACACATACTATTGAATTCCCGACAGATACACTACACTCTCAGCAATAGAAAAAAAAAGTTTTTTTTTTACTTTGTATACATATTATAAACTTTATTCTCCAAATACAATATCTTACATGAAAAAGCAAAATACATTTAGAAAAATGACATAAAATTATCAAAATGGAAATATAAGATAACCATTATATACATTATATATATTCATCCAGCTTTATACAAGTACGTATCAGCCCAGCCGGATATTTTAATCCGACTGAGACGGTATTTAAAGTCCGGAACACCCGACTTAATCAATAAAGCATAAACACTGCTGTGAATTAATCATCTAGAAAAGGTAAAATTTGCTGTTAGGGTTAACCTTGATCACTTTTGCTAGGTAAAATCATTTTAAAATACAAATGTATTTAACGATATCTTTAAATAAAATATTAGCAACATTTATATATATATATGTGAAATCATTAGTCAAATGTAGGCTACATAAAAGGAAATATGTGTACGTATTTACAGTAAAATATATATATATACGTGTTTCTTAAACTGGTTAAATAGTTATGATGTTGATATTTACCAGTAGGCCTATTATTTTTTGTAGTTTGTTATGTATAATTAAATTTGTTCTACAGGCTACTAAATATAAAAAAGAAAACCCATCAGCCTTAATAGAACTAAGCCTGGTAATACTAAGACGAGTGAGACTATATCTTCTAAGAGTCTTGTTATATTAAGCCTTGTGAGAACAAGCCTTTTAAAATTGAATTAATTAAAACGCTTTCCCCAAATCAATAGACATATATTTCTGACCAAATGTTTATAGTTACTACTAGAACCAGAATCTCTACGTCTTATCTTTTAATGAGCGCACCATTCGATTCAACTTTATAGCAAGCTGCATGGGACTGAGAACATGCAACACTGAAGTCGATACATTGCGATGGTCATTTTTATTACCCAGAGAAAAAAAATTCGTTTAATCTTAGAAGCTGTATAATTTTATACGTGTTTATATATATATTCCAATGTATAGTCTGCTAACTTCATTATAACATTAAAATACAAAACCATAACATTAATAGATATATGCACGCCAAAACCGGTTTAAAGAATATTTATAGTTCAGGAAATAAAAATCTGCTTATAGTGTTACAAATGAGGCAATTATCCTGTTTATTTTATTTACTAAAATAAAATTCGTTTCTAAGCATTAAAATATTCTGTTATTAAATGAAAAACCAAATTAATTTGAGATGTCAGTTATTCTAACAAAATTTAAAAAACAATTTAAATGCTTTTTTTACAACACTTTTAAATGAAGTTAGATCTAGATCCTGAAATACTTCAAGAAAAATGAAAACGTATAAGTGCATATATTTCTGTACAAGTGATAAGTGGTTGGTGTAGGGGTACAGAGCTGGGTTTAGCTGGAGTCATCTCCAGCTTCAGATGGGGTATCGTTGTATAGGCCCTGCTCCATCATTTCCTGAGAAGTAAAGGGGTTCAATGAGCATTCAGGGTATCACGTGGTGCAAAGGTTAGTCACGAGGTTAGAGGATTAGCCTGGATCCCTTATAGATTAGCTAATCTCACCCAATGGTAACTTTACAAATGTGATCGCTAATAAATCTCACCAAATTTTACAAAATGCTTGTCTTAAATTTAAATCTTACTTTGTGAAAAAAAATAATTGCTCACAAACCAAAGTGTGTAAATAAAATATATAATTCATATAAAATAGTTTTCAGAAAATATTCGTTTTAATTTTGATTTCGTTTCCAAATGTATATGTATATATTTGATTTTACTTTATTAGTTTACAAAAGGCCAAGTAATTATTCTATCTTATGTATAAAAAGGAATCATAATTAGAAACCTTTTTTAAAGTATGTGGTTTTCTTAAAAATTAAAATAATAAAATTACAATTTATATTATTCATAATTTGACCGTAAAATAAATAATTACTTTTTGTTTGATTTGCATTTCAGTTCAATAATAGTCATTTGTATATCTAAGTAAATTTTTACATTAGTAACTAATTACTAATTGTAAAAAATCATCACAATGGTTTCCATTCATGTGTTCCTAAAATCCTTTATCATTGTCCATTTTACACAGCAATGATTTTCTTTTTAAATACGCAGGTACTGTAAAACATCCTTTATTGGTGTTGCTTTAATGCTTCAGGTTAAACTATCAAGTTTAGCTCCGGCCTCAGGTTAAACTGTCGAGTTAAGCTCCGGCGGCGACGATTTTCTATCCTGATCTCCAAGCCAGTTATGTAGTTTTTTTTCCGAAAACGGAAGCAGGAAATGGGTATTTAAATGGCGACTGGTTGCCAAATGCGAAGTCAGCTAAGGGACGGTAATAGTTATCAGAAAACAGAATTATGTCCCTTCGATTGAGGAACCAATAAATATTCTAGAGCCTCGATAAAGGCATGTTGTGAGCCCCTGCTCAAACTGCCACTTAATACCTTGGATAAGCCGTTTTAGTTTAGAAGTTTAATGTTAGCTAGAATCGTCACTAACTTTGATGGTCGAGTGGTTGTAGAGCCCCTGCTCCATGAGCTGCATGGCCAAGGGGTTTCGAACCCCGACGGATTTCTTGATTTTGGCCCTCTTGTTCTGGAACCAGATTTTGATCTGCGACTCCGTCAGGCCGAGCTCGTCTGCCAGATTTTTCCTCCGCGTTTCCGTCAGGTACCTGGTGATAAGAAATTATTCACATTTCACTACCTCACGTTAGTGATGGTTTTAAGTAATATGGCGATACAAATTATTCACGTTACGAGACCACACTTTAGTGATGGTGTTAAGTTATATTTTCTCTGTAGCGCATCGCACCCATATTTATTTACGAATCAATCCAAAGGGCACGAGTTTTACCAAACTAAAGATTGAAATATGTCTGACTACCAGCTACCTATTCTTTAGACATATGAACAGTACGTGATATTTTTATAGCACAGTGCACATTATTTATTAATAATAAAGTACGTTAGCGTGTGACCTACCATCATTAAACTTCGAGTCAAATGTCATCTAATGTAATATACAAGACACACAGTACATTTAAAAAAAAAATACATTTCCTAGTTACCGGAAGTCACCAAAGATTTTTTTTTAAATGCCTAGTTACCGGAAGTCACAAAAAAGAAATGTAAAAAAAATAGCTATTTACCGGCAGTCATCGAACTCTCGCTTCAACCTCTGAAGTTGATCGTTGGTGAAGGCCGTTCTCGGCCTCTTCTCGTCCTGGATCTTGTTCCGTTTGGGCTTTCGTGATCTTGGGCCTGTTGATGTTCAGATTGAGAACCATTGTTAATTTACACGTGTTTGGTTGTGAACTCAGTTTTTTTGACGCTAAGTGATGTCTTATTGCCTGTGGTTTCTCTTGTGTTCGATACGGGAATGTGTGTATTATGATAGCCAGTGTTAAGTGTATAATATACAATATTTGTTTAATACTTTAAGCATTATAAGAACTGTATGATTTTACTGTAAAAACTATAATATTGTTAGATTTACTTATGAACAATGCGATGGTAGCTTTGGGCACACAGGGGATACCCAATTCTAAAAATAGTTTAATACAAATAATTATCGCCTTAAAATGCCACCAACAGAGCCGAAGAGCTCTACATAGAAAATAAAAATTATCAGTTAAATTAGGTATTGCTAATCTTAGAGGAGGAGGGGGATGGGCGGGCTGTGCTAAGTAAATGATAGTCTAAGGGTACTAAGAAATTCTGCTAGCTACAAGGGACCATTGTTACCGCTAAGTCGAAAAGTAGATGGAGGACATACCACGTACCCTAACAACTGCGGAAATTACCCACAATACTTATCCCACACACGGTAAACTTAATTAAAGTATACATCAAACATTCACCAAGCAGGCAATTAAAATTCTGTGTTAATTGCACGCGTTGTTTCTAACATCGTTCAAGTACCGAACACCGTACGCCCTCTCGTGTTGGGCTATCATCTTGTACACGCTTGCGTACACATGCGTACGGTGTTTACGTTTAATAACACACGCCGGAATAAGTCCGTGGAATGTGTATAATCTTTAAATTAGCATTTCACGAACTGAAATCGGGAAAACCCAATTTTATTTGAACCTATATTTAACCGGGGAAATAACTGTAATTATTTTATTTGAAAAACCCCATCTCGTGTGGGTTAAGTCGAGAGAGACCCGCCCTAGCAGCCCCACCCCACACAGTCGACCCAGTGTTTCTTTAAAGTGAGTGACTTCACAAAAGGTGATTTTGTTTTCTGTGAGCGGATATGACGTAACGACAAAGGAAGTGTTACGTCAGTGATCTCCTTTATGGACAGAGGTTGCGGAATTACCCAGTGATGTAAAGGGGGAGTGGGGTATTTCATCAGTAAGTGTGAGGCCTTAATTGTTTGAAAGAGGAAGGACATGGCAACATTTACACTACAAAACAATATTAATGCAATATTAATGGCGAAATGGACAAGAGGATATTTAATTAATTACACAATATTTTGTTTTACATTGTTCCAAAATACAACTTAATAGGAACGTTATGAATAATAATCATGTTTTAAAGATAATATTAATATAAATGTAAGTGTTGGAATCATGGGCCATTTAGCAAAACGATAACATTTTGGTTAATATATGTTAGCCCAATCAAATATAGCAGTAAAAACACAATGCAGTTAGAATCATCGGCTGAAGTTAATGTCACTAACAATTACCTTGTAGTACGCCATTAGTTTCACAGTGTTCGGTTGATTGTTATTGAAAAGCAAGGTAACTTTTGATCATCTAATTACATTAACAATTTACTACTCACTTTACAAAGTAAGTCCAGTACATCAAACGATTTTTTAACCGGAAATAGATTCAAATAGTTTGAAACCCGCTTTTAAATTTCAATAACGGTATTGTCAGTAATGCAGAATAAGGTGACAGTATAATTAAGTTGGAGCTAATACAATTCAAAGTGTGAATCGTTTTCTTGTGAGAATAAGAAAGTTGTAATTTTCTTTGCACTTTACTGTAAGTTGTTGTCTGTGTCGTGTAGTTAAAAATAAGATAGCAGCTCTCAACACCGCGCAGTGGCGCTGCGAACAATAGGCTTCTGTTGCTAGGATGGGGGAAATAAAGAGAAAGTGTGAGCTAAGGTGTAGCTCTGAATGGAGCTAATGAGCCCCTAAATGGCGTCTTCATTGAAACGAGGTCGGCGACACAAAAACTTGTCCCGGGCGCAGAAGGGTTAACACTGAACACACGAAATTATGTTGCCAGGCCCCTAAAGGGTTAATAAATCAAGATCGGAGTTCGTGCAGCTCGTCCATCATGTGGAACCTCCCCTCAGTCCCAGGCTCGCCGAGAGGAGGCGCCGGGGTGAGGAGGCGCCGGCGTGAGGGTCGGCCCGACATCGGAAGCCGCCGTCCGCTTCAGTACCCGGCTTCCTCTCTATGGCTAGCATCCGCGTGAACTGTGACCTCTGGAGGAAGCCATAATGGCTAATCGACATACTCCTTTTGACAAGTTCAAAGCAGGCATTTGTTCCTCTTTAGAACGGAGCATTACTGACTTAAACAATAACAGATTAGAAAGATGTACTAGCGAATATGAAGGGGAAAAAAAACGGAAGTATCGTCATCATTGTCACGGCCTTGTTCATGTTTTCCGCCATTATCGTCAATTAACGTGATCACAAACGTGATCCCAAACGTGATCGCAGGCAGGAAATGGGTGTAATAAAGAAACAGTCGGAAATATGATACGGTGTTTGATGCGCAGCGAGCCTTGACATATTGCGGATGTTGTTGGTTGTAGTGTTCCGTAATGAAGTGCTGCTAGACAGTGTGCTCAGTGGTCCATTTACGCAGTGTAGGTGCAAGGCCGTGCAGCATCTTAAGAATTACAAAGAATCTTGTATAGGTCATTACAAGAATGGCACACAAATATATACCGCACACAGTCTTAAGGTGCTGGGATAGGGACGTTGCTGGTGATACACTGTAGCCTGGTAATGACGGCAGCACTAAAATATGTGAACTGCCATAAAACATATAACTTAGGGCTTTTAACCTCAAGTTTTTTTTTTAAATGACATATAATGTCATGAAATTGTTTGAGTATTTTTTCGTATTTTCAGCTCCGATAAGATTTAAATAATTCTATTCAAACATCGATCGACTTAAACAGGAATTTTAAAGATATAATCAATTCAACTTTTATCGTACTTAAAATTTAAACATGCTAAATTCTTTAATATAAAATAGAGTATATATATATATATATATATATATATATATATATATATATATATATATATATATATATATATATATATATGTGTGTGTGTGTGTGTGTGTGTGTGTGTGTGTGTGTGTGTGCGTGCGTGTGTGTGTGCGTGTGTGTGTGTGTGTATGTATATAATATAGAGAAGTAATTATTTTTAAAATATTTATATATTTATTTATTTTGAATTTTTAAAAGCTTTTTAAAAATTCTTGTATAATTTATTCAAAACAGGCGCCAATTAATAAACGGGACAATCGAAGAAAACTAGAAAGCTGCAATTAGAGATAATGAAAGGAAGAAGTGAGATATGACACGGGGTGTGGGGGAGGGGGGAGGCGATAGCACGAGACAAAAATAGCATCACTGAGAGTGTGATTTCTGGGTGCCAGTTCCCGGGGGTGGGCTCCAGTTACAGGGTCGGTTGTTTTCCAAGATGTGATTCCAGATAGGGGGAGTGGGATGAGGGGGCGGGGGTGGGATGCATGTCGGCTTGTCTTTTAGGCGAGGGAGATGGGCTGCAATTATCTAATTAAGTCGGAGGGGTTGAAATTTATTCAGTTTTGATTGCATAAAACGCTGAGGTTTGTTTTGATGGTGTATTGATAAGAAGTTGTGAGTGGTGATTGGATGAATATGTGTGGGGGGGGGGCTGCGTGGGGTAGGGTAACAGTGTGTGTTGTGTTGAGTGAAGTAGCGGAGTGTGTAGAGATGAGAACTGGGAGTTTGTTAAGGTGGTGGTAGGAGTGGCGGGGAGGGGAGGGTAAGGTTGGGGTAGGGATGTCTTGAATGACGTCGTAGTGGCGGGGTGGGGAGGGTAAGGTTGGGGTAGGGATGTCTTGAATGACGTCGTAGTGGCGGGGTGGGGAGGGTAAGGTTGGGGTAGTGATGTCTTGAATACCGTCAAGGGGCGAGGGGTATGACATGATATGGGGGTAGAGTGGGGTAAGGTGTGTGGGGGTACGGCATAGTTTGGGGTGGTATGAGGGGAGGTGTGGGAGGCACGGCTTGGTTGGTGGTGTGACGGCATAGTGTGGAGGTTGATTGGGGTGTGGGGCATACGATAAAATAGTGTGGGGGTTGATAATGGATATGTGCGGGGTACGGCAGTGTGGGGTGGTGTGACGTATAAATGGGAGGTACGGCTTGATGTGTTTGTGGGGGGGGGGGGGTAGTGGGACGGGATGTGTGCGGGGTACGAGTTGAAGTGGGGGGGGGGGGGGTAGTGTGACGGTGTGGGCGAGACAGGGGTGGGGAGGAGCAGAACGTTCAACTAATTTCGTTCAATCAACCATTACAACCGTGTTTCTCAGACCCAAGACGGGACAGACGGGGGTCAAACAAATGACCCCGGGTCACCGCCATTTGACACCCCTGCCCTGGCGTTGTCTGGTGCTGGAGAATTGATTGCCTTCAATTTAAATTGGGGTGTGGGTGTGGGTGGGGGGGAGGGGTGCGGAGTTGTGTGATTATTGTAACTGTGCAGTCCCAAATTTGTAATCTAGAGAGAAACATGGGGGTCAGAATGTCTTGGTGCTTATTGGACAATGCTAGGCTTACGAAACCAGTTTTTCATTGAGTTTTTAAATAATCAAGCAGAAATTGCGTTACTTTGGTCTATTTTATTTCTTTTAAAATACCATTGTCTATTGTCTTAAAATGTAACCAAAAGATATTTTTTAAGGGAGACAATAATCAAGGTATTAAAAAAATGTTTTTAAGTACTCCTGAGTTCCATCCCCTGTTCACGGTTTAACTCCCCTTTAAAAATTATCCCGGAATTTATCTGCTAACCTGTACAATGAAACGTATCCCCATAATAAAACTGTTGCCAACGTTATCCGTCGCATTGGACGCACAGGTCTAAAAATAATATCAGATTTCGCACGGCCGTATCTTACAGGCAATTGTCCTGGGTTTTATGTTCAAATTTTATGATGAGCTATTCTAGACCTTATAATCTGGCGCGGCGAACACGCCCCTAAGCCTAGCATGTTCTATCATTAGAGAGAATTGTTCCACTCGCTTCTGGTAATCCCATATAGCTTATCAGACTTACACATCGCTTGCTACGCTTCGCGGAGAGGAATGTTGGGCTTCGCGGAGTGGAGGGGAAAAACAGAAAACGTATGATAGACGATGTTGATAAAATCTTACACAAACTTATATCGGAGGTTTATATATTTTTAATTGTAGCAAATTTTGTTACGTATAGTGACAGTGTAGTCTATTTATAATAATATAATGTAAGCTTTCCTCTAAATTCGCAAGCATTTCTATAACAGCTCGTGTTTATTTGGTGCATAACAAATGGGACGAGAAGTTGGTTTGTTATAGTGTTATATTGTGTTAAATGGCATGTCGGGGGTGGGGGTTATTGTAGTGTTATATTGTATTTTATGGAATGAGGTGGATGTTAAAAGTCGCTTTAAATAACATGTTGTTGTTTTTTGTTGTTTTTTTTTTGCAATTATATCTATTTTTTATTTTTTTTCAGGATTTTTTTATGATCAAATATCGTTTGATTAAATGTAACATTCTGAATCAAAATAAAAACGATTAATTTTTGCCTCAATCCTGAAATGATTTTATCATGTGGTTTATTTAATTATAAATTTAATTACATGGTACACGTATTTAGCAAATTACGAGTTATATAATAATCATAAAAAAATAGTCATTGAATATATTGAATCATCAGCTTCAATTTAGGTAAGTTCGCTACTCATCGTAAAAGTGTATCAACGCTTACCTCATGGGCATACATCAGTGTAAATAATATTTATTAGTCTGCTATATTAAATCGTACTGAGAAGTCATAAGCATAGACTTAAAAAAAAAAAAAAAAAAAAAAAAAAACACGATTTCATAAATTATCAGTTACGATTGGTCATCAGCTGTCTATGTCCCATGAGGGGCGACAGACACACCTAACCTAACTATGATTGGTCAGCTGAAACAGTGGCACTGGTTTGGTACCTACCTGAAGATGGACGGTCAGAATACCGGGTACAGAACACCCAAGCAGGCCATAGAGGATTGTCTGATTTCTCGTTAGGTTTGGTGGGTTTTTCCTTGGCGACTGCTGGGCTTTGTGTCTCTTGCTTCAGATCTGGCTTGGATTTGTCGGAGGAGGCTTTGCTGGAGATCTGAGGAGTAGGTGTTGGATTTACCGCTTCCGGTTTTTGGATGTTTGATGGTTGAGTTTTTGGAGTAATTTTCGGTGAAGTTTTGAGGTCTGTGTGTTGTCTTGGGGTTGGACTGTGCCAGTTAGATTTTGGAGCAGGTTCGGGGTTCTGGAATTGTTTGGTGGCCGGGTTGGTAGTTCCCTTCAGAGTGTCTTGAATGGTTTTATGAGTGTTGTTTAAAATTGGATGTAGAGAGCGAGTAAACATCTTGGCGATGTCTTGCTGTAGAAGGTGCTCCCGTTTCGACATGACGCCTTCGGGAGAGAAATAATTCTTGCGTGGGTCTGTTGTGGGGGGTGCTTGCACCTGCATCTGTGGGGGGTAGATGTGTGGGAACTGGACGAGAGGGTTGACGTGTGTGGGATGGATAAACGGAAAATGCCGTCCGATAAAATTTTCCAAGTCTTTGCTGGGGTTCGGGAAAAGTCTCTGAGGAAACATGAAATTTTCCTGACCCCGCATTTGTCTTTCGAGGTAGAGGCGTTGTCCCAGCTCCCACTTGTGGGCGTTGAGCTCTGACGATGAAAGCGGCGGTGATGGGGACGATGATGAAGAAGATGACGACGATGAGACCGACTCTGATCGTGATCTTGTGCTGAGGTCGACAGCCGTGAAAGCTGAGTGTGTAGACTTGAAGTCCTGTTTGGACATGTTCTCTACGGAGATTTCTGGAATTTTCTGGAATGATTTTGTGGGTTGGGTCGGCGTAACGACACTGCCAAAGTCTGGCCGCAAGATGGCGTCGATGGAGAAGTTGGTCTTTTTTTCTCGGGACTCGGTGCTTGTTTTGTTGTTGTTGTCTGTCGAGATACGACGCTCAGGTTTCGTAGGTGAGTCGTTTACATTTGTATCAAACGATGTGTTTTCTGATGATGGTGGGGTATTGTTTTTCTGTTTCGGCGTCGCATCGTTGACGTGGGTGGTCAGGTTCAAAGGTGAACAAGGTGGGGTTTCTGTTTCGATGTCAATAAAACACGAGGAGGGGGTCGGGGGACAGGAGTCCATGTTGTCCCCACCCTCCTCTTCATGTGTTTCATCATCTCCATCGAGATCGTCGTTATTCTCATCTAACTGAGTTTTCAGCTTACTCCCCATCTTTTGTAAAGAGGAAAAGAAATGAGTTCTGAGTAATTCTGTTTTGGCGATGTAGTTCAGACAATCGGAAGGCTCTTGGCGTTCAGTTTCCGGTGTCATGCGGCTGGGCAGTGACCGGCAGCGGACCATCTCGTGTTTATCTTTGGATGAGTGGCGTGGGCCGGGATTAGCGTCGCGGACAAACACGCTTAAGGTGTCGTCACGAGAGGCGGTGAGCCGGCGTTGTGACACCTGGAGCATCTGACGGAGACAGGCCTCTTTAAAGCTCGGGCTCGTTGCCGGTGACGTCACTTCCGGGAGACGATGATGACCCGGATTAATGTGGTACGGGGTTGTGTCTCCCCTCGCGGACACATCCCCCGCGACACAGAGATTGTCTTGACCGGTGTGTCGGAGTTTACCTGTGTCCACGTGACAGCCAGGGGTGGAGCTGTACGACAGGGCTGTACCGCAATCAGGCTGTTGTACTCGGCTTTCATTCACCAACAGCCGGGCTTGTTTGGGCGGTGACGTCACTCTGGCAGCGCTCGCGATGACGTCGGAGGCGGGGCGTTTCAATGACGTCACGCATTTTCGATCACAGCTATCCAGGCGTGTGACGCCGATCCCGGCAAACTGTGGCGTCGAGTTGTGAAGTTTTGCTGACTCCATGGCGTCACGGTAGAGGAAGGTGTCCATGCTCTTCATGAAGCAGACACTTTCCATTTTATGCCAGCGGCCGTCAGGGGGTGGTGGGGTGGCACCTACAAGACGATGGCGATCAGGATTCTTTCATGGGAACAACCAGATCACCTTGAAAATAGAACAAAGAAAATAAGTGTAATAAATAAAAAGTCAATTACAGGTAAAGCAGATTTGATCTGTTTATCTTTTGAATAGGTTGTGGTAAAAAATGTGTCATAAACTAGTTGGCTAGATGACAAAACGTGTTGTGGTAAACACATTTGATTGGCTGATTCAAGTCAGATGTTAAAAGATTTTTGGGCTATAAATACTTGATGAAATTCATTGCTTTGATTTGAGGCAGATTTATCAAACTGGTTGGAAGATTTGGTTTGCGATCTTTACAAAATATTTTTTAAATAGTCGACCTTTGACTTTGAATGTAATAGTCTCACGTGCTGTGTTAGAAAGAAACAGTATATAGGTTGTAATGGCGTGTGATAGAATTTTTGTTGTGATATGTGTTTTGATCGGTGGTATATGTGTTATTGTTTGTGATATAATGTGTGTTATTGTATATGCTATAGTGTGTGTTATGGCGTGTGTTATGATGTGTGTTATGGTGTTTATTGTATGTGGAATATGATATGTGCTATTGTCTGTACTATTGTAGTGTGTGTTATGACGAGTGTTATGATGTGTGTTATAGTGTGTGTTATGGTGTGGATTGTATGTGGAATATGGTGTGTGCTATCGTGAAATCTATGGCGTGTGTTATGATTCGTGTTATAGAGCGTGTTATGGTGTGTATTGTGTAAGGAATATAATGTATGCTATTGTGTGTACTACTGTAGTGTGCCCTTTCCCTTGTGTTGTGATGTGTGGTATGGTGTGAAATATGGTGTGTGCTGGAATGCGTGCTATCGTGTATGTTATGGTCTACACTTGTCCCACACATCTCCTATTATGACAGAGATCCGCGATATCTGCTACCAGATATTACCCTGAAACATTAGATACCACATAAGTCAACTTTGGCTGGTACACGCGAATGTTTTCATGACATAACCCTAAGCCTAAACCCTATCACTGACAATTCACAGTATGGCGATAACCCTAAACTCTACGGATTAATCTTTACCTCAACTAAACTCTAATCCTGACTCATTTCTAACCTTTACCCGATAGAACATCTAAAATGGATTAGAATAATTGATATTTATTTATTTTTAAATCCAACTGTTAATTTGAAGTCTTAGTGTACCAGTATTAGCAGTTCACCAATGGACAAAATCCAGTTTTAGTTGTTTTTTTTAAATATGTTTTTGTTTTAGTGTTTTTGTTAATTAAAATATCGGTTATTCATCTGTAAAATATTTATCAATCTCAAAAAAAGAATTTTATTGTGACAAAATGATAATGAAGTTGATAAAATTTAAAACACATTTCTTTCTTTATTATCTTAGCATAGCATGAGCTAATTAGCAAGGCCTAATTAGAGAAACAATTTTTGCTTTCATGTAGCCTACCTGTTTCTATTGTATATAAACGTTTCTTCTGTATTAACTAAATATTCGAATTAAATTTGTTTATTAACAAATAGCGTGCTACTCTTTAATTAGCATTTAATAATTACATGTGAAGTAAATCAATATTTTAGTGCGATTAAAGGTTAACTTAATCAAAACAAGGTATTCAAATTACAAATTCGTAACGGATAGCATCAAAAGCTGGAATTAGAAATCTTAATGTGTTAAGACTTGTATGTTTTAGTTAAACTTTTTTTTATCACAACAATCAATTATTTTTCATCTGTTTTTTAAATTATAGTTTTACTGGATTTAAAATCGATTCCAATTGCTTTACTTCATTTAATATAATTATTATGATTCGTAATAATGTATAAGACATAAGAAAATTAACATATTATCTTTCAAAATATCAATTTTTAAGCTAAAATGTTCATAATTTCGTCGTTTTCTATTTCGGCACTCACTACATGATGCATCTCCTGATATTTTATATTTTATCTTCTCAATAGATAAGGACAGAATGTTCAATACAACATTCCCACTTTGTTGTTTGTCGTAATTTGCACTTTTAGACTTAAAATTCAACCTTTAATTACGGTAAACATTTAGCTTTCTTCCTTATTTATGTAATACAGTAAAATGGGAAATAATCCCAGACTGACAACTAACACTACAAATATGTAATGATACTACACCTAATATATAGGAATAACGAAGCTGAGGTCTATAATAGAAATATAGACGATGCTGAAATAATACTTTCAAATTTGCTTCAGAAAAATAAAGTAACCGACAACTTAAGAAACAGATACTGCAGGCACTGCAGGAAATACATAAGTTAATGCATTTAACTGACCATATAAGATCTCTGCAGACGACGAAAGTAACATTTACTGCCGAGTTATAAAGTAACAATTACTGCAGAGAAATACAGTAACAATTACTGCAGACAGCTAAAGTAACTTTCAGACAGTTAAGGTAACATATAGGCTCTACTGCAGACAAATAGACACTGATATCTGACGATATCTACGCCACTAGCGGGTAATGTAACATATAATATCCTTGTGACAAAGCCACAGATAATATCTGTGTGACAAAGCGTACCATCAAAAGCTTGTGTAAGGCCACGTCTCACTTACAGACAGTTACCAGATTACAGTAGCAGGTAATTATGTCGTATAACGTTGTTAAGCTTTTGTTTCATCTAGCTGTAGTGTCTTGTCTTTACCGCGAGTTTTTTTGTTTCATTCATCTTATCTTATTTCACGTACTTTGTGGGTTAAACGTCTTGAAATCTAGAGATGAATAATGTATTTTAAGTCACGCTTTTATCAAATGTAACTTGTTTGCAATACTGCTTGGTATTATAGGAATGAGCAAGCCTCAACTCTAAAAGCAGTAGATAAAGAAAAAATAACGAGAACGTAAAAACTAACAATTAAACTCTCACCTTTGATAGCGACTTTTATTACGTCAAATCTAACTGTGTGTTTTGTAAACCAAGTTGCTCTGTGATTATCGGATTGGTTTAAAATTTGTTAACACTGAACGTCTACTGTTTCATTATGACTCAAAATGTAATTCAAGCAGGCCCCACACACATATCCCCCCCCCCCACACACATCTCACACAGTTCCGCTATGTCCCAAGATTTAATTAAAACACCCCCTACACATATCCCCACACCGCACCCACAAACATTCCACATTGGGATTTTAATACATAATTACTATTGATATGATCATACTTCAAAAATGCACGAGTTTGTATTCAAAATATCTTATTTGTTTGGCTTGATTTAGGAACAGAAATTAAATAACCCAAATATTGTAATGAGCTTGTTATTCTTTATACATTTCAGTTACATTTTAAATGTTTTCTGTGAAATATAGTGGGGTGAGTCACATTTTATTTAGACCATTGCTATACACACACAAACTAATAATTTAAAAAAACATAAACCATACAAACATTGATGTTGAAAACAAAATTAGCTAAATGTGTCAAATCCCCATGAGTTATTCCTACAATTTTTATAATAATTATTTGTGAGGTTTTATTTTAACCCACGCTGGTTTACTATTTTGTTATATCGTAATTAATTCCAACTTTTAAAACCTCTGAATCGTATGTTTCATTATCCATGTCACGCTCAAATTGTAATCGTAACTTCACTGATCACGTGACTCACTAAAGAGTAGATCACGCGGGGACACTGACTGCAATTGTTCACAATGTCACATTTTAAGTATCATAACATCAACACATAACCATCCTCGCTGGCCAAAATCTTAACCAAGTGATTGTATTATAGCCTTTCATTTAGTCAATCGTTTTGTCATGATCAATATCGATTAGTTTCGACACAAACAAATAACAATATCGATTAGCTTAGACACAAACAAATAACAATATCGATTAGCTTAGACACAAACAAATAACAATATCGATTAGTTTCGACACAAACAAATAACAATATCGATTAGCTTAGACACAAACAAATAACAATATCGATTAGTTTAGACACAAACAAATAACAATATCGATTAGTTTAGACACAAACAAATAACAATATCGATTAGCCTTTACAGAGACAAAGAACGGACGGACGGTATTAGTTGCAGCTTTAGGCTGTACAAACTAAATATACAAATCCTTTTATCTTCCTAGGTTAGAGCTAGGGTTCGTGTCTTCATTGATTAAAACCGGACAGTGCCATCAATAAATATACGCCAACGCTAGTGTATAGGGTAAAGGTTAAGATTTAGGGGAGGTTTATAGTTAGGTAGATCTAGCGCTTAGACTTTTGGTTAAAGTAATGGTTGAGTCGGGTTTTGGATTTTAAAATTACCACCTATACTAGCTAATCAAGGAAGGTGATAAAGATCCTGCCAATAACGTCTAACCCGCGTTTATACTCGAAACATGTATACATGAATATATTTATACATTTTTACGATAGTAAAAAACCGCAACATGTATACATGAATACATTTATACATTTTTACGATACTAGTAAAAAACCGCAACATGTATACATGAATACATTTATACATTTTTACGATACTAGTAAAAAACCGCAACATGTATACATGAATATATTTATACACGTTTACTTAACTAAGACAAAATAACTATGTATACATATTACATGGGGGAAAACCTTTCCATGTATAATTCACTTGTTCCATTTTTCCTCCTAGATATGTCTAGAATACATGTTGTAAGTGTAAACACGTTTTAGGCTATGTTTAGGTTGTGTTAAGGTTTATGTTTAGGCTATGATTAGCGTTTTAGTCAGGATGTAGTAATGATTTACAAGTAAAATTTACATTATAGTTTAGACTAGCGTTATTGTTAAGGCCAGGTTTAAACTCAGCAAAAATTTTAAAAATTTGAATAACATGAAATCGGCAGTACAGTAAAATTAAACAACACAATGAGTTACGTACCTTGAATAAATGAGGAACTACTCCCTTCAACAGCTCACTACATCCGGGTATTGTAAAGTAGCCTACAGCCGGGTATTGTCAACTTGGTAAACTACAGCTACCGATAAACACAAATCAATTTTTTGGACCAC